TTCTGTTGACTGAAAATGATAGCAACCAATGTATCAATAATTCAAAAATATAAAAAGAAAAAAGAACCGTTGATCTCCAATTCAATGCATATACACTATGAAACTGACCTGTTTGATATAATAAATGTCGTGGTGTTGGGCCAGAAGCTATGGTTAGGGACTCAATATATGATTATAGAAAATAGATATGTGGTGTTTGCTCATTCCGTGTGGAAGGCTTTTTGTTCTATCCACTTTTATACGTCACATCAGGGGAAAAAATTGGTTGATTTTATCTATTTTTTGAAGAAAAATAATAATAATAATGAGAGAGTCGCTATTATTATTATTATTACTAGTTTTTCTTTACTTTATCTTTAGTATTAATGGGAAATATTATTTTTTTGTTATAGTAAAATAATTATCTCATATTATAAAAATAAAATTATACGTGGGACTCACGGTAAGAGGAGAAAAAAAAAATGATGGAATCTACTCTTTTTTTATGTGTATAAAAAAATTGTTTTTCTCATATAAAATAAAATAAATATAACACAATATTAACATGTAAAAAGAAAATTAGTAAAGGGTAAGAACTACCATCCCCGTTGAATGATTGAAGTGGTTAGTAGCACTCTCAGGCGTAGCTACCTATCTATCCTAAAGCGGTAGGATGTGAAGGAAAAAAAAAAAAAAAAAGTCTCAACTGAACGCAGTTCTGTTTAAAATTAAAAATGATCTAAATTAGAGTCCATTAGGATGGTTTTTTTTTTTTTTTTTTTTTAAAAAAAAAAGAACTTTTTAATTTAAATTCATTTAGATGTCTCTTTTTTAAAAAAATATAAGTTACAACAAAAATTAAAAACTTAATTTTTTTAAAAGCTAAAAATTTTAAGAGTAAATATTATTTTTGGTCCTCAGAAAATTTCATGGGGCCTGTTTTAGTCCCTAGCAAATAAAAAGGCCCATCGTGGTCCCTGAAAAATTTAAATTGGACACATTTTAGTCCTTTTGAAGACTAATATGGGTTTTTTTTAAATTTGTGAGGGACCACGATTTCAACTAAATGGGTCCTTTTGAATTTTTGAGGGATCACGATGAGCTTTTTTATTTTCTAGGGACTAAAACGGGCCTCGTGAAATTTTCTGAGGACCAAAAATGATATTTACTCAAATTTTAACTTCTAAAATAAGCTGAAGTCAAAAATCAAATAATATTTTCAAAAATTAAATATTTTTATAAAAATATAAATAACTTTAATTTTTATAAAAAACTTTTAAAATAAAAAAGAGATAAAAATTATTTTTTTTAAAAGGTAAAATAAACGGGTTCTTAAATGTTTGAAAACATCTGCGTACACAATCCGAGCGTCTAGCAGACAAGGATAAAGATTAAAAAAGATCTCGACTTACCTATTTATATCTGAAAAACTTTATTATTAATTGGTTTGGTAGACAATTACCTTACCATAAGGTCAAAGAGAAGCAGTAGTTACAATCTTTGTGAATAGGAGAAGAGTGGTCGGTAGCGTCACTCGCCGACCCACGTTCGGTGACATGTCCTCAAATGCGGACACAAGATTTTGCATTTTAATTTTTTGTAGTCACGTAAGTTATTATTTATCTCTTAGTTTAATATTTATAGTAAGAATAAATATTTTTTTTTTGAGGTTAATAAATATTATTTTAAGTTCTTAACAAAAAAATATGTTCTCCATTCTCTTACTAAAAATTAGTCTCGAGGAGGTTTTTAAGAAATTCAAAGTGGATTAATTTAATTAAAATCGTGATCACTCACAAATTTAAAAAAGACCTACATTAGTTTCAAAAAGACTAAAATAGGTCTACTTTAAATTTCATAGAGACCAGGTGACTATTTTTTTTATAATGGACTAAAGTGGGGACTCATTTTTTGTTAGGGACAAAAAATGATATTTATTCTTATATTAATTAGCAACGCAGCAACGTACAGAGATAATTAAGACAACGTAGCAATTCAAATTGATTAGAGAGAAAACTTATTTTTACTCCCCGTCACATACCTATTCCCATGATTTCTTCATTGTTTGTTATGAAAACAACTAGATTATGAGTGAGTTCAAGCATTAATTTAAACTTTTTTTACAAAAAAAAAAATTCGCGGGCACTGCCCTGAACTCCGCCACTAAATGTGCGGATATAAAAAAAAATTCCTGAGTCCGTCACTGGTAGCGTAACCAAGGGGAAAGAGAGAAAAAGCTAAGAGATAAAGAGATCGATTGCATTAAGCTTAGTGCTGAAGGCTTTGGCTTAATCAATATAATGTAAAAAGGTGAATTATGCTGAATAAATGACATGTTGGGATTTGCAGATATTTGTACATCGCTCAATTATAGCGAAGCAAATGAAATTTTATCCCTTTGGAGGATATTAAAAAGCTAGATTCAACTGATAGAAGTTGGTGAATAATGCTCTTTGTGTTGGGTAGAGCTATGCTATCTTGAATTCGATGTAATGTGGACTTAATTTTAAAATAGAGTCCGATTTATTAATTTCTGTATAATTAAAATATATTTTATTCAATCTATTTTAAATTTTTTGTTATTTGTGTGCTGATCGATATTGATTGTATGGCGTATCATCCTCAAACATTATTCATTTATAAGAGTTTTTGTATAATCATGCTATTTCAGACTCCTTGCAATTCTAGATTTAATTTTAAAGCAAAATTCTTTATCAATCTCCTTATTGTCAAAATATATTTTAATAAATTCGTTTTAAACTTCTATTAATTCAAGCAATGATTTACTATATATGTTGATTGTATAGTTTGACCACCCTCAAATATTGTATGCTCATAAGAATATACGTAAAGCATGCTATCTTATAATATGTGCAATGATGAGATAATCTTCAAAAGTTTTAAATTTAACAAAATCATAAATATTTAGCGTGAAAGTTTTTGTAACCGGTCCAAATTGTTTTTTTAGGACTCGAATCAGACACCATTCAGCCTAATAATTCCTTCCTTGGAAGTCACTTACTACCTGTACTACCCCCTTTAATTCAGGCCTTTTTAGCATGTGATAATATAATTTCTTTGAAAGTAGCAATTTGGGCCACCAGATGGGGTAGTGTCGACAATTTATTTATTCCTTTATTATAGATTACCCAAATTCCAAGGACTATAAAGTTTAAACTGTTTCTCAATGATAAATAGCACATTCATAAGCATATTCCATCGGCTGTGGTTTCTCTCTCAAACATGTTCACAATTTAAATCCATTTCGATGTGGTATGCTTTAATTTTTGGTGCCTCCCTTTTCATCAATCATGAATGCCTTAGCATGAAGTTGTACTATGTCTAGAACCTTTAGTAAATTTAAATTTTAGATGAGAAAAATATGTGTCATTTTAAAGAAGGTAAAATTATGTTATTTTAAATGAAAAAAAAAATTATGAGAGAGAAAAAGTGAAAATAAAATAAAATTATAGGTTTCATCTCTTTGTAAGAATAAAATGACACACTACACCAAAAAAAAAAATGACACAACTTATATTATTTAAAATAACAAATTTTTTCCCAATTTTAAATGATAAAAGCAGCAAAATCTTCTTTGAGTTTTTACCATCTAAACCACATAATTTTTTAATACACTCCAGTACCACTGTGGTCCTTCCACTCAAATATTGACATGTGTATTAATTTTTTTTCTTTTTTTTCTCTTTCCTCTCTCCTCAATTTGTTGTCTCTTTCTCTCACCTCAATTCCACCCTATTTCTTTTACTCCCGGACCACTAAGGATCGTTTGGATGAGTTATTTTATGTAAAATTACTTTTTATGTATTGTTTTTTTTAAAATAAATTTTTTTAAAAGGAAAAGTTATTTTACGTTTGGATGTATGATTTGAAAATTACTTTTACATAAAAAAATTGTTTGGATGTTAAAATAAAAAAACACTTTTATATAAAATTACAATAAAGGAGAGATAAAATAGTATGATCATAGGATAAGTAGAGATAAAATAGGTATGATCGTAGGATAAATAGAGATAAAATAGGTATGATAGGATAAGGTTAAAATTGTATTCTAAAAATTTATATTATCTTTTTTCCAAAAAAAAAAAAATTATATTATCTTTAAATTTCTGCTTTTTTTCAAAGCAACCAAACTACTGGCTATAAAAAAAGTAGCATTTTAACTTTTATTTTAAATTTTACTTTTTTAAAAAGTTATTATCCAAACATCTAAAAATTCTTAAAAGGACTCTTATTTTAAAAAAAAGTAATTTTTTTAAGAACAAAAGTCCATCGAAACAGGCACTAAATCTTCGCTCCTAAAGCACATGCACCATACTTTACAAAAATGTCAATCATATCCGCATATTGGACGGAGAGAAAAGAAAAATAACAAAGAAAGAAATTTTTTCAAATTTTCTTTACATGTCATTTAAGTGAGCGTTTATAAATTTAATTTAAAAAAATTATTTTTTAATTGTCAGCTTTTCCCATGTTGTAAAATCGACTTCCCAAAAATTGCTATACTTTTTGGATGATACAGAAAAGGACGAGCATCATCTACACATGACAATAATAATTGTTTTCGTTCATTCACAACTAAAGAAGTGGACGACGATGAAAGTGACGATCCATGATAAATAATATATGGACCAAAACTTACGTATTTATTTCGCAATATAGTTAGGTGCATGTTAAATGTAGTTTGAAAACATGAGCAGATTCGTATTAACAACAATACATTAATTAATGTAACAAAAGTTGCTTTCGATGATCTATCTAGAGAATAATCATTCATTCAAGGATAATAACAAAAAAAAGAACTATAATTATTTTATTATAGCATGCTTATTTTATTTTCCATTTTAAGTTTAACAACAAAAATCATAGAATAATCACTCTTCTATTTATGGTTAATTTATAATAATCAGTAAAATATTTGAAATAAAACATATAACAAATCAGCAATGGTAAACTCAGAGCAACAAAAATTGCTATGTGAAATATAAACACAAATACACCGATTATACATACAATTAATTATGAGATTGGATCTCTTATGTCCAAATAACAATATTACAAAAACAAAATTTTAAAATGTTCACAAATTATATCAAAACTGAAAAAATAAATAATAATAACAATAATAATAATGTCTCGTTTTCTACCCAAGAATAGTGCTTAGAGCAGCACCAACTAAAATGGTAATAGAATACGCCCATAACCCTGAAGTAGTTGAAGCCCATGCAGACGACGACACAATGCCGCCGTTTGACCCGGCTGGTGTCGTTTCGTTAGACGACGACGGCGTTATGGAAGGGGCGGGACTAGACGATGTCGTTTGGGGCGATCCTGACGGCGATAGAGTTGCTGCTCCCGGAGACGCGGCTGGAGCGGTGGTCGATGGGGAAAGCGATGGTGGTGATACTGTGGCCGGCACAGGAGAACTCGCCGGAGGGAGGAGCGAAGGTGCGTAGGTTGGTGCAGTTGAAACTGAAGGTGGTTGAGATGGCGGGAGGGACCTTGATGGATATGGTGATGATGCTGGTGTGAATGGAGATGGTGAAATTGGTGTTTGAGGTAATGGGGATTGAGAGATAGGGGAATTGGATTTTGGAGGGTTTGGAATGTAAGAGGGTGGTTGAGAAATTGGAGAATGAGTGTTTGGAGGTGTTGCAATATATGGAGGTTGATTCATGGGGGAAGGGGATTTTGGAGGTGTTGGAATGATGTAAGGAGGTTGAGAAATGGGAGAATGGGTATTTGGAGGTGTTGAAACATAGGGTGGTTGATTCATGGGGGATGGGGTTTTTGGAGGTGTTGGAATGATGTAAGGAGGTTGAGAAATTGGAGAATGGGTATTTGGAGGTGTTGAAACATAGGGTGGTTGATTGATAGGGGTAGGAGTATTTGGAGGTGCTGCAACATATGGTGGTTGATTCATGGGGGAAGGGGTTTTTGGAGTTGGAATGTAGGGAGGTTGAGAAATAGGAGAAGGGGTTTTTGGAGGTGTTGGAATGTAGGGTGGTTGGTTGACAGGGGAAGGAGTTTTTGGGGGTGTTGGTACATAGGGAGGCTGAGAAATTGGAGAAGGAGTTGTTGGAGGTTTTGGAGCATAGGGTGGTTGATTGACAGGGGAAGGAGTTTTTGGAACATAGGGAGGTTGAGAAATGGGAGAGGGAGTTTTTGGGGCTGGAACATAGGGTGGTTGATTTCCTGGGGTAGGAGCTTTTGGAGGAGAAGGAACATTTGGAGGACTATTATAAACAGGAGAAGGTGTTTTTGGAGGTGTTGGAATATGAGGTGGATAATTAATAGGGGAAGGAGCTTTGGGAGGAACAGGAACATTGGGAGGACTATAAACAGGAGAAGGAGTATTTGGAGGTGTTGGAACATAGGGAGACTGATTGCCAGGGGATGGAGCTTTTGGAGGAGTAGGAACATTGGGAGGACTATAAACAGGAGAGGGAGTGTTTGGAGGTGTTGGAACATAGGGTGGATGGTTAATAGGAGAAGGAGATTTTGGAGGAGTGGGAACATTGGGTGGACTGTAAACAGGAGAAGGTGTTTTTGGAGGTGTTGGAACATAGGGTGGATGGTTAATAGGAGAAGGAGCTTTTGGAGGAGTGGGAACATTGGGTGGACTGTAAATTGGAGAAGGTGTTTTTGGAGGTGTTGGAACATAGGGTGGATGGTTAATAGGAGAAGGAGCTTTCGGAGGAACAGGAATATTGGGTGGACTGTTAACTGGAGAAGGTGTTTTTGGAGGGGTTGGAACATTGGGTGGACTATAAACAGGAGAAGGTGTTTTTGGAGGTGTTGGAAAATAGGGTGGATTATGAATAGGGGAAGGATTTTGTGGAGGTGTGGGAACATAGGGAGGATGATTAACCGGAGATGGAGCTTTTGGAGGAGTTGGGACATTGGGAGGATTATAGACTGGAGGAGTTGGAACATTGGGAGGATGATATACAGGGGAAGGAGTTTGAGGTGGTTTTGGAGCATAAGGAGGCTGATTAACAGGTGAAGGAGCTTTTGGTGGAGTTGGAACATAAGGAGGATGATACACTGGAGGAGAAGGAGTCTGTGGAGGTGTTGGGACATAAGGAGGCTCATTGATAGGTGGAGGAGTTTTTGGAGGTGTTGGAACATAAGGAGGATGATAGATAGGGGAAGGTGTTGTTGGAGGTGTTGGAGAATATGGAGGTGGGTTATGATGCTGTTGTTCTCTCACAGCCATGACTACAACAATAAGTTTCTGACCCTTTTCACAATTTCCATCTTTACCACTGATGAAGTAAAAAGGACCCGATCGATCAAGCTGGAACACTGAGTCACCATCCTCAAACTTCTTGATCGGGTTCTTCTTGTTGCATTTTTCATAATCCTCCTTGTTCACCTCCAATACCGCATCTGAACCCTTCTTGTACTTGAAAACTGATAACACATAACACAAAAAGAAAACCATAATTAAAAACCAATCACAAGCAACAATCAAGCACAATATAAGAAATGGAAACTTACCAAGAGAGTCACTGACTTGGAACCTGTTCCTTTGAGTCCATTGATTGTAATTCTCAAAAGGGTTCAAAACCCATCCATCTTTTCCACCAACATAGAATGTGTAGGCATGGGAGCATGAGAAGAGACTAAAGAGAAACAAGAGGAGGCAAATATGCCTCTGAAGCTCCATGAGGAAAATAAAAGCTAGTTGTTAAGGACTGTTTATTGATTTTACATGTAACATATATAGTGTACATAAACTAGCACTAGTGATGGTATATATATAGTATCTACAGAAAGAAACTTCAGAGAAAATTTAGATAGCAGAGGATAGAGTTATGGGAAGTAATGGGGGAAGAGATTGAGATATATAAAGGGAAACTTTTCCTCATTACCGTTGCAGTGATGATGTAGGACCAAGCGTGTGAAATGCAAGGGCACTACGTGTGAAGAGCTTACATGTGGCGAAATGATAGAGTTGTAACGTTGGAATTCATGAATGTTTATTTATTAAAGGGTTGTCGGGGGGTTAGACCCACATGCTTGATGGAACTCCATCATTTAGCTACCACACTAGTCCAAAAACAGTGCTCATTGTTCAATGGCTTTGACTCAATGTGGTGCAGTTTTACCCATGTTACTTATTGCTGATATTTTATTTTAGATGCATACTGTTATTAATTTTGTGGTCATTATTCTGAGGCTCAAAGATTGGTCATTATTCTGAGGCTCAAAGATCAATAGTATATATATATATAGATATATATATATTTCTGCTTTGAGGATTATGAATTATGGTGCTCTGCATGTGTAATATATTACATGGTTGATTAAGTTTTTAGAAAGTTTAAAATCATGATTAACGTAGAAGCTTACTTTTTATAACTTTTCCTTTTTGAAATTTTAATTTTTAAAACTTAAACTACACATGTCAAATTAGGCTTTGTCATAGGGTAGTACTGTAGTAGTGCATTTCCTTTGGTGTATTGGATTCCGAAGTCAGACCCCCATTGCCATTGGTAATTACTGTCTCATTTTCTGGTCAAATATGTTTGTTCTTTTCTCTACTATTGTTCTCTCCTGTTATAAAGGAGACTTATGGTTGGATCTTTTACAATTATGTATCAAGCAAATGACAAAAATCGATATTAAAATTATTTTATATTTTTTAAAATAGTCATCTTATATATTTACAATTTTGTTCATATATGCCATGCATTCAGCCAAAAAACGTTAATCAACTAAAAATTATTAATTTAAATGATAATAAATATATTTTACTAATCTTTGTTAAGATGACTATTTTAAAAAAATTAATAATTAGGATACCGGGGGTTCAAAGAGTCGAACCCGTGAAAATACCGGGGTTCTGATTCGCCTCAAAGAAGTAATTAAGATCAGTTTCAAAAAAAAAAATTAATAATTTAAATTAAAGTAACAAATATTAGTAAAATATATTTATTATCATTTAAATTAATAATTTTTAGTTGATTAACTTTTTTTGGCTGAATGGCATATATGAACAAGATTGCATTAACTTATGTAATTAAAAGTATGGGTTCGTTTTTTCTGCAGTAAGCCAATACGACGTCGTTTTGGGACCAAAATTATGGCGTTTTTGTAATTTTAATTTATTTTAGGGTTATAATAGTCCTTATATTTATAATTTTTTAAGATTTTAACACCAAAATAACGTAGTTTTGAGAATAAATACAGATAATTTCTCCGTGCGGAAACATTTTTCCCTAAAAGTATTTTGTTTAAGTTTGAAAGACAAAACAATTTTAAACCAAACATACTGATAATTATTGCACTTGGGGTATGAATGTTGACTTTAACAAAAACCCTTACTCCCATCCAACCTTGTAGTTGAAATTTAATTGGTAGACTAGAAATTTCCCATTTTCGAAAAATATTACTCTTAGGTGTTATAACGTACCATACTTTAAAAGGGTTTGATGTTTGTAATTTTAAATGACATAAATTATATCATTTTAAAAGAGACATAGACACAAGAAATAAAAATCATGGGAGAAAAAAAGTGGGTGGTTTTTTTTAATTTAAATTTTAAATAAAAAAATTTATTTTGTGTCTATCTTTCTCTTAAAATGACATAACTTTATGTCATTTAAAATCACAGACATTTTTCCCTACTTTAAATTAGCACTTGATGGGACATTCTTTTCTCCTCTAAAAAATATTCTTCTAAAATCTCTCCTATTAAATGACTAAAATCATATAATTTTTCATAGAAAATAAAATTATTCCCGTTTCAAATCATGGGCATTTTCTCCCTATTTTATATAAGGGCCTTTATTTTTATTTTTATTTTTTAGGGGTGTTGCAAAAGTCGCCTCTATGAATAGGTAAGTAATTTATTAATTCATGTAACACTAATGATCATAAATAACACATCAAGTGTTCTTTACACAATAACATCTAAAAAAACAACGATTGAACAAAGACTCTTTTAAAATAAGTAAGTAAATACATATTTATTTTTTATTTTATTTAATTTACTAAAATTTAAAGATGATTTTATATTACCTTATTTACTTTAAAGACAATTTTAATTTAAAAAAATTCCTTTGCATTATTATAACAATATAAGGCCACAAGGAATGATTAAAAGCTCCACATGCTGTATTGATTATAATCTAGCTAAAAAATATCTTCTCATAAAATAAAGATTAAAAAAAAAAAGTTGCACTGATTAAGTTATTAACGAATTAGGCCAAGACTAACAAAATGGGGCCTTGAAGAACTACAATTATCAATGAAAGTAACTGTTGATCACAAAATAGAGTATAATACTCCAAGATCGAAGTACATAATTTGATAACGTAATGAAACGAATTAAAAAAAGAGTAGTTATGAAAAATCAATCATGTCAGATATGTAAATTATTTTTGAACTTGGCTTAAAAAATAAATTCTAAATGATTTATCAATTTATATATATATATATATATATATATATATATATATATATATATATATATATATATATATATATATATGATGTGAAAACCTGTCCATCCATGTATTTGGCGGAACAAAAAGAGTTAGTTATGCTAACAATGTTGCTGCAAAAACATGCTAGCAACTCCAAGAAAATCATACCCTTCTCATCTCTAATTACCAACGCCAAGTCGTTTAGGAGAATTCACTTTGGCCATAGCATCGACATGGATCTTGTATAGGGATGTACAAAAAATCCAAAATAACTGAACCACATCAAGAACCACACCAAACTGAACCAAAATAATTGATTTTTTTAAATTGGTTCGGAAAGTTAAACCAGTTTTATTATTTAAAACAATCCAATTTAGACCTGTTTCAGAATTGGATTTTAAGCAGGTCAAACTAAACCAACACATTTACATAACACAACTCATCAATCTCGTTCCTAATCGAAGCATATTTTTGCTCACACCCTAAGTAATACCCTAAGCATATTTTAAGCATATTTTTTTCCCGATAAACTTAGGTGTACAAATTACAAAGTCAATAAAAAATTGATATAATGATAAAGTATATTATATCATACATTTAAGGTGTTTTTGGTAGGGGAATTTTATTTTGTTACCTGAAAAAGTTCACATGGGATTCAAAAGAGATCATGTTTGATAGAAGTTTTTAAAAAATTTATCTAGGGTTCTAATTTGCATTAAGAATGTGACATTGTGTGTAAAATTTTATCCAGATTATCACTTGAGAATACCATCCAAAGGCTGATATTTTGATTTAGCCGGAAAACAAAAAATTGGGGAGCGAAAATTTGGACACGAATATTCTTGAAATAACGTGCCAAAATTTGATAGGTAAGGGTTACTTTGATAATTTTAACTCATTTTTCTAGCAATATTTTAAAAAAATTCTACTCTACCAAATACGCTTTATATTTACTTTATATTTCAGTACCTAATGTTATATTAAAAATACGTCTCTTTGCCCTTTATACTTAATATTATATTTATATTTACCGGTGTTTTTATTTTCTCGGATAATAATGTAGAAGATAAAGAACTAACTTTTAATTTATTTATTTTTTTGGGGAGGGTAATTATTGCAAAGGCCGTCTCTATGAATTGGTAAGTAATAGTGTAATACTATTCCAATTTTATGTATTGATTCATGTAACACTAATCAATAATCATAAGGTAGTGTTTGGTTGGGGACAAAAAAATTTTTACTAGGAAAATATAATTGATAGGAAAATGGTTGAAAAGTAAGTTTGGTAAAAAAATGTAAAAAAAGTTGTTTGGTTGACCGAAATATTACTTGGGAAATTTATTTAAATATGCAAAATCTATGTTCGGGAGAAACTTTGCACCTGTATTTTCACTTCTCCAGTTATCTCAAAATACCACATCTCAAGTGGTATTCTGTAACAGTAAATTTTATCTAAAAATCAACACAAAAGTCATTTTCCCATCTATCCTATTTACCTAGTATTTTTTGAAAAAATCTGAACCAAACGTGATATTTTTTAATATGCACTTACACTTTCCCATCAATTCCAAAATAAATCTTCAACCAAACACTACCTAAAGAACACGCGAGTACTATGTAAGGGGTACACATGACTTTACTTCTCCGCCAGAAGAAGTTATTCCGCTTTTTGTTCAATAATGCTGTGGGGGTAGATGTCCCCAGGTGGTGTACTACGTAGGCTCTGTAATAAGCCTTAACATTTGTTTAACTTTCATTTTTCTTCAAAAAAAGAAAGAAAAGAAAGAACAAGTTAGAATACTGATTAAGTATTCTTTACACATATTACCAAAAAAAAAAAAGTATTTTTTACACAAAAGCATCTAAAAACAACAATCATGTGACTATTATTATGAATTTGTTTTTAAAGTGATTTATGTATTGATTCATGCAAGACTAACCATAGAAATAACACATTATAATAGTGCTTACACAAGCATTCTTAACACAAAAACACTAAAAACAACGATTGAGGAAACACTTTTCAAATCAATCTCTTTTCAAAGTTAGTAATTACAGATGAATTTAATTTTTTTAATTTAATGTACTAAAATCTAAAAGTTAATAAATCTTTACTTATGTACTTTAAGGATATTTTTATTTTAAAAGAATTTCTTTCTATATTGGGTTTTATAAGAGTTATATTGTAGGAAAAGTGATTGTGTAATGTTATAGAGATTCGTTTTGCGTGCCTTAATTTTTTTATTTTTTTTTTTGCTTTAATAAGTGCGGACCTCACAAAAT